CTCACTATGTAGACCATCCTTGCCTCTTCTGGAATTAAGGTGTCCACCAGCAAGACAGGCATGAGTAAGATTTGACTTCAAGCTTTTACATACATATCTGTCTAAATATATATTTATGCAACTTGGGATGGTCTGTGAAAGGGAACCACGTTTACTTTCAGGGCTGCTGTACTGGATAGTATACACAAGCATATAGTCATCCGTGTGCTGATTTTCACGGGCATCTTCATTCGCCGTGAGGTCACTGCCAATAAAAGCACCAGCACTAACAGCAGAATGGGTCATAGTGACTCAGTAAGTGACAGGCCCAGCCGTTGACCACAGCAGCTAGTGGAATGACTTATTTTGGAGATGCCCATGCACCCTGAGTGGGGGTGCCCACGGAGACCAGAGACTGGCGGGTGGTTGTAAGTTGTCCGACATGTTATGGGAACCAAACTCTCATCTGAACCACTGAGCATCTCTCCAGCCTTCACAGCTGCTGCTCTTGGTGCCATGTGAGAACTTATGACTAAAAGGGGAGATGCTGGGGATGGCACTGGCTGCTGTTACAGAGGACCTAGGTTCGATGCCCAGTACCCATATAGCAACTCACAACCACCTGTAACTCCAGTCCCAGGGGATCTGGCACCCCCTTCTGGCCTCCACAAGCACTACATGTGGTGCACACACACACACACACACACACACACACACACACACAAAACATCCATAAATATAAAATTAAAATAAATAAATCTTTATGAATGCATATTGATGGGAGGTCCTGTGTATATGATTGTCTTATTGGTTGATAAATAAAGTACTGTTGGCCAGTAGGAAAACAAGATAGGTGGGACTAGGAGTCAAGGAGGATTCTGGGAAAGGTAGGGGAAGGTAGAGTCACCATGTGAGCCTGGGAAGACAGGATGCTTGCCACTGGCTTCTGATAAGTCTTATAAAATATGTAGATTTATGATAATTAAGACTGAGTTAACAGATGAGAAATCCTAGTCATTGACCAAGCAGCATTTGTACCTATTATAACTCTGTGTATTACTTGGGACCTTAATGTGGCAATGGGCAGAACTTGGGCGGCCTGGCAGAGGGCGCCCATGTGACAGCAGGGCTCAGGCAGCTTGGCCGAAAGACTTATTGTTACAGCTTATGATATCTAGCCTGCCCTTTAGTAACCATGCCAGTGTGAAAGTCTACAAAAAGACAGTGTAAAGGCATGTGCATGCTACATCCTATGAATTAACGCAAAGAATGGGGGAGGGGTTGCTGGCGACATAGTCAAGCAGTTAAGACGGTGTGTTAGTTTAATATTTGTGACAAAACACCATAGCCAAAAGCAACATGGAGAGAAAAGGGTTTATTTGGCTTATTCTTCCACAGCACTGTTCATAAGTGAAGGAGTCAGGACAAGAACTCAAACAGGTCAGGATCCTGGAGGCAGGCGCTGATACAGAGGCCATGGTGGGGTGCTGATTACTGGCTTAGCCTGTTTTCTTATTGTGTGCAAGATCACTTTCCCAGCGGTGGCACCACCCACAATTGACTGATTAATTCCCCATGAATCACTAATTAAGAAATGCCCTGGGAGAGATGGCTCAGCAGTTAAGAGCACTGACTGTTCTTCCAGAGGTTCAATTCCCAGCCCCACTGACAGCTCACAACTGTCTGTAACTCACATAGACATATGTACAGGAAAAATACCAATGCACATAAAATAAAATTATTTTTAAAAAAGAAAATGCCCTATAGGCTTGCCTACAGCCCAGTCTTATGGAGGCATTTTCTCAGTTGAGGTTTCCTCCTGAAGATGACTCTAGCTTGTGTCAAGTTGACAGGAAACTAGCTAGCACAATTGACTACTTACCAATGTGACACACAAACACATCACTCTTAATCTAACTTTACCTTGCATGATGCAGTGCCTCCAGGTGACCAAAAGAGGGCATCCCAGTCCCCAGAACTGGAGTTCCAGCCAGTTTTGAACCACAATGTGGCTGCTGGAAACCATGGTTGAGCCAACTCTGCAGCCCCAGGCCTCCTCCTCTTTAACCTTTCTTACTACACATATGCACAAATAAGCAAATACAACCTGATGAGTTGCTTGCATGTATGCTTTTTAAGGGCTGACCATTTGGTATTGGATAGTCAGTCAAGACTCATCCTAAAGTGGTTTTAATTTGGTGGACAAAAGGACTTTTTAAGTGGCTGGAGAAATGGTTTGGCAGTTAAGAGCACTCGCTGCTCTTACAGAGGACCTGGTTCTGGTCCCAGCACTCACATCATGTGGCTCACAATTTCCTCTAACTGTAGCTCCAGAAGATCCTTTGTTCTCTTCTGGCCTCTTCACTTACCTGCATGCATGTGGTGCAAGCAAGCACACGAGTACGTGATTATGCGTGTGCGTGTACACACACACACACACACACACACACACACACACACGTTATTATTCAAAAGACAAAGCCTGAAGAAGATTCTAGAGGAGCAACAAGTTGCAATTGAAGTTCCAGGTGTCAGTCCACCAGAAGGAGATCCTCTGATTTGCCAATCTCATTTAGGCAAGATCACGGGACTGCAGACCCTGCGATGTCTTTTGCTTCTGATGCGCCTTTACATGTTTGCTGCAGCTCTCTTTCTCTGGTATCGAGCATGGTGTGAGTGGAGGTGGGGAGATCTCCACTGCCTGGTATATAGTGTTGTTTATCTCTTGGAAACATCCAGTTCTATTAGGCATTTTTACCTGTGGATCATCAAGAAGATGACACCTCCCTAATCTACTGTCTAATTTGATAATTTATACAGAGTTTTAATTAATAAAAATAAAAATAAATACAAGGATATGTTTCACAGCACCTAAGGAGCTGAGTGGATTGTTGCTCAATTGAGTCTCAGTAGCCCTGCTAGTTCAGATTCTCTTAACCTTATTGTTGGGAGATATGTTCACAGGTCTCTGAGTGCAAAGTTAGACTAGGATGGTTTTGTTAAATAACTTAGAGGTGAAAAACTCCAAGAAGACAATCTAAAGTTTTAGAAAGACACATGTTTAAATGTCAGGGGACAAGAACAAAGCAGCCCAATTACTGGCTGAGGTACTCTCCTTGCTAGATTTGGTTAATCAAAAGTGGTGATTAATTCCTTATAACCAGGCTGGAGAAATGGCTCAGAGGTTAAGAGCACTGGCTGTTCTTCCAAAGGTCATGAGTTCAATTCCCAGCAACCACATGATGGTTCACAACCATCTGGTGCCGTCTTCTGGTGCACAGGCATACATGGAGGCAGAATGTTGTATACATAAAATCTTCTGCCCTCAATATCCATATATCTGTGTGTGTGTGTGTGTGTGTGTGTGTGTGTGTATTATTAATGGATATGTATCCTAAAGATTTAGAGATGAGTGATTCTTTTTCATATATGAAGGTTTAGGTTTGTGATTCCTTTAAGATTCCTTATAAGATTACCTTTCAAGATAATAAATTGGCAAAAGACCTGACAAGAACATCTTGCTTGCCCACACAGTTCATCTGTAACAAGTTGCTTGGATATGAATGCCTGTGGATTTGTGGGGTAATTTTTCACCTGTAATACATAAAATGTTTGATCATGTGAGGGAGATGAGAAACATCTTTTTTACCTATAATCATTCAATTGAGAAAAGGAATGCAACTGTTTTGACTCTTGTACTGCCTGGAAGGTTATATGGGGTATAAAAGCTGTGAAAAAAAAAAAACATGAAAAGCCAGAGAGAGAATAAACAAGACAACAAAGGAAATCAAGAGTTTGTGAGTGCCTTTTCCCCTAATTCCACTCCAAAAAGTTTAGCCTCGTCAACTCTGGATTTCTGTCCAAGCCCTGTGCTCCCAGACAGCAGTATATGTGCTATGCATTCAAGGAAGAAAATGATGGAATGTTCACTACATCAACACTGTCAGGACAGCAGGACTGCAAGGCTATGAGGGTGTAATGGGCTGAGCAGTGAAGTGGCAATTGACCCAGTGGGAGGGAGCATCACTAGAACACAGGCATCCTCAGGGCCTGTGCATCTATCTTGTTTTCTGATGAGTCCTGCCCTATTAGTGTGCCATCTTGCACTTGGTTTCTTAGATTTTCTTTGTATATTTCCAACATCTGCTTCAGATTCTTCATGGAATCAAGGAAATATCATGTGTAAATCAGGAATAGCACACGCATTCCCACCTTGGATGTCAAGAGGAAGCGATTGACAGTTCTCTAGCGTTAAGTCATTCATCATTCCTTGAAGGCCCCTGAACACTGTGGCACAGCAATGCAGTAGCAGTTTGTTGAACAAACCCCCTTCCTCTGTCTCCTGGGCGCTGGTGTCATCACTCCCAGCCCTACCTCACTTGTTGTATCTGTTTTTCTTTTGATACATATATGGCTTTTTTTTTATTGTTTTCTGTCTATAAAGGCTTCACCTTTCCAGAGTCTTCTGGAAAGGCAGCCAGTGCTCCAGACCACTGAGCCATCTCTCCAGACCCTTGATATATATGATCTTGATATATATATACATATATATATATGTATATTTTTATTACTTTTTACTAAATATGTATACATAGCCATGGGAACTGTTGAAGCAACATGAATGAGCAACAGAAGAAACCACACTTCAGAGCTAGAAGGAGGATTTCCTGTGTTGTGAGAACATAGTTCCATGTTTCAGTGAGTTGTCAAAATGAGCTCTGGTGAAGTTGAGAGTACTCACTCATTGGTTCCTCAGAAATGTAACATCGCCTTGTACAGACTTCATTGCTAAACTTACAAAGGACTTAGAAAAGACAGAAACTTCAGCTGGGCATGGTGGTGCGTGCCTTTAATGCCAGCACTTCGAGGCTAGCAGATCTCTGAGTCCAGCTATGTCTAGAGCTCCAGGTCAGCCAGGCCAGGGCTCTGTAGTGAGACTCTGTCTTAAAAGAAAGGGGACGGGAGAAATGTCTTTATATTTCTAATCTCGACAGGTTAGTGTTATGCCATAGGTTTCTTGATATTTTGTATAACGTTTTATTGTATGGAAAGGTTTGAAGTAGGCAATATGCAATCATATGTCTTGTACAGTAGTCGAACGTTGACACTTTATAATTTCAGGTCCTTCTGGACGTTCCAAAGTGTTTCTGCACTCTTCTTGAGAAGGCCCTCCTCCTCGGGATTCAGGTTCACTTTCACAATGTCTGTGACACCGTTTCGTCCCAAGATACAAGGAACGCTGAGAAAGATTTCTTCCTGTATTCCATATAAGCCCTGAAATGCAAGGTCACAACATTGTTTGGTTCCCTTGACACTATGCAAGAAAGCTTCAGAATAAAAATGTGCAGTAGACTATGGCACCAAGCACAGCTAAACACACATGGCAGAGTAATCTTTGGCAGAGCTCAGAGCCATCTTTGTCCTGTACCGCATGATCGGCCAGTGACAAGAAGAATGTACCAGAGGCCTTTAAAAGGACCAGAGAAAGGCAAAATCTCCTCCACCTCAACAGACCACCTTGATGTCTACAGGGAAGGGTGTGATGCTGTCTTTTTGTGACCTTTTTATCCGGTGAAGGGCTGAGAGCAAACAGCCTCTGGGTACACTGAAGGGACAATGAAGGCTAAAGCAGGTGGTGACCCGGTAGCCTCTACTTTGTACCTTTTGACAAAGGCCACCACTGAATTCAGACACCAGTTGTGACTGATGGCTTCTCAAGCCTCCAGAGATAGAAGACAGGGCTACTGGGACACACCCAGCACAGTATTTGGGAACATGTCCTTGAGATGTAACCCTGCACTTCTGTACCCCTCAACTGCCACCTTTCCAGGAGATCCACTCTAGGACTTCCAGGCTGGATAGGGACATGGGAGAGGTGTAACCACATATGCTACTCAGCTGTGGAATTCTGGCCGGTGGCCCAACATTTTCTCCACTCCCATAGCCAAGGTTGTGGAAACAGCTGTGAGACACTGTTTAAGTCTGGGCAACCTATACATCGACCTGTGTAAGCCAGAATCTGTTGCCCCGTATCAGAATCTACTGTCCCATACTACCTACCCCACCACCACTCCTGGGCAATGAAATACCCAGTGAACTCTTCCCATCTTCCGCCCCACCCCCATCCCTCTGGGGATGCCTTTGTGGATCGCAATGGAAGAGCTTTGGCTGTAAACAAGTCAAATACGAACATTGAGAGTCAGGGTCTCTAGACTTTCACAGTGCACCCCAACCTCCCATACATGCCCAGAGTCTCATGCTCCCTGCAACTTTCCTGGGAGCACAGGGTGGGAGCCCCTCATTCCTGTGCTCTTCCAGTGCTCCTTCCTGCGGGGAACTCTGTCAGCTGCCTCATTCTGAAGTTATTTTACACTCAACCTCACCAGTGACCAGGAGTGATAGATGAACATTTTCTCCAGGCTTACCTTAACAAGTGTGGAAACTGGATGCACCCTCCTAAGATTCTTCAGCATTGATCCTGCCAGATCTGTCACAGATAGCCCAATAGCCCAAGATGTATAGCCCTTCAGCCGGAGGACCTCATAGCCACTGCAGTTGGAAGGAAATGGAAACCCTGAGAGGTCAACTTAGAGACGAGGTTGCTCACATATCCCTTCTGAAGCATCTGTGTGTCTATGACATTTTCTCAGAGTTCTTCTATAAGTGTGTATGGCTTATAATCTTTGAAAATAGATCTCAATGGTGCATGCCTTTAATCCCAGTACTCGAGGGGCAGAGGCAGATGGATCTCTGTGAGTTTGAGACCAGCCTGGTCTACATACAAGAGCTAGTTCCAGGCCTCCAAAGAGAAACTCTGTCTCGAAAAATAAAAAACAAAAACAAACAAACAAACAATAAACAAAATAGATCTCAGACAGGCATGGAGGGGCACAGTTGGATCTCTGTGAGTTCCAGGCCAGCCTGGTCTACATAGTGAGTTCTGGGCCAACCAGAGATATACAATAAGACCCTGTCTCAAAAAAGTAAGTCTTATAAAATGCCATTATACTTTAAATAAGAATCAATTTGGAGCCAGATGTTGGTGGCACATGCCTTTAATCCCAGCACTTGGGAGTCAGAGGCAGGCGGATCTCTGTGAGTTCGAGGCCAGCCTGGTCTCCAGAGCAAGTGCCAGGATAGGCTCCAAAGCTACACAGAGAAACCGTCTTGAAACAAACAAACAAACAAACAAAAAGAATCAATTTGGGGCTGGAGAGATAGCTCAGAGGTTAAGAGCACTAGCTGCTCTTCCAGAGGTCCTGAGTTCAATTCCCAGCACCCACATGGTGGCTCACAACCATCTGTAATGAAATCTGGCGTCCTCTTCTGGCCTACAAGGATACATACAGATAGAATACTGTATATACAGTAAACAAATACATCTTTTAAAAAAAATCAATTCAATGTCAGGTATGGTGGCACATCCCTTTAATCCAAGCATTTAGGAGGCAGAGGCAGGCAGATCTCTAAGAGTTCTAGGTCAGCCTGGTCTATACAGAGAGACCCTGTCTCAAAACAAAACAAAACAAAACAAACAAGAATCAGTTCATTTTTATCATGAAACCAAAATACTAGGACATATGCACCACAAGATGGAATTAACTATTTTTTAATTTTTCAAGACAGGGCTTCTCTGTGTAGCCCTGGCTTTCCTAGAACTTATTCTGTACACCAGGCTGGCTTTGAACTCACAGAGATCTGCCTGTCTCTACCTCCTGAGTGCTGGGATTAAAGGCATGCATCACCAGCACCTGGCTCAAAATTTATTTTTTAAAGATTTGTTTATTATTTATAGTGTTCTGTCTGCATGTATGCATGCAGGCCATAAGAGGGCACCAGATCTCATTATAGATGCTTGTGAGCCACTGTGTGGTTGCTGGGAATTGAACTCAGAACCTCTGGAGAGCAGCCAGTGCTCTTAATCTCTGAGCCATCTCTCCAGCCCTCAAAATGTATTCTTAATAACGATCATTGGGCATTAAAAATCACAGAACTACTGTCACCTCTCCACCACCTGATTGTGGATCTTTTTCCAGTGTTCCTGGTCTGAATCAGTTCCTAATGCTGGGTTCAGTGACTTCAGAAGTACGCCAGCAACATTCACACCACTCCATAAGGGCACTAAGAAAAACAAAACAAAATAGCACAACTCTCCACATGGGCTCCTATGCCAAAGCTGAATCAGTTGCTTGAGTTTGGTGTTGGGGTATTTTGTTGAGGGCAGTGTTGGGATTCTGTTTTGGTTTGGTTCTTTTGAGAAAGGCCCCAGCTACCTTCAAATTCATACCTTGCTGTCTCTACCCTTAATGCTAGATGGCAAGCATATGCTACCACACTTGGCTTGTGTTGACTGACAGGTTTTGTTTTTGTTTGTTTTTAAGAAAGGGTATCATATAACTCTGGCTGGCCTCCAACTCAATGTGCAGCCAAAGGGGGGCCTCAAACTTCTGATCTTCCTGCCTCCATTCCCCACACCCAAATTATTGATTTTAGGCATACATCACTACCCCTGGCTTTGATTGGTTGAGAGTGCTGAACGTTCGATGTACCCGAGAGGATGTCTGGGAACTCCTGATCCTCCTGTCCCAGCCTCCTAAGTGCTATCATTACAAGTATTCACCACCACATCTAGATGTATTTTTTGTTTGGATTTTAACGTTAGGATGCTATCTCACATCATACATAAAAACAAGGCATTCGGGTTTTTCTTGCCTTTTAAATTATTTTTGCTTGTATTTGTGATTTTTTACTTAGGTGTACATGTGTGTCTGTATGTGGGTTTGTGCACATAAATGCCAGCAGAACCCAGAAGTGGGTGTTGGATTTCCTGAAACTGGCATTACAGATAGCAGTGAGCATGTACTCTTCAACTGTTGATCCATCTTTCCAGCCCCCAGAATAACTTTTAAATGGACAGAAAGAGAAATTACATTAGAAAACACATAGTTGAATTATGGATGTATGGCACAGGAAACATTTTAAAGCAGTGTACAAAATGCAGATTTGACAAAGAAAAGGATTGCTAAGGAACATGCTGTTAGAGGAGAGTGAGTTGCACATTACACCACATTTCCCCACAGCAACAGAGCTGAGGAGCAATATGCAGCCACGCAGACTCATATAACCTGTCTCCAAGGAACAGGATGAAATCCAAACGCCTTCATATAAACCAGAGAGCAGAGATCCCCAGGCAAGCTGGCTAAGTGGACTAGCCAGAATTGGTAGAGCTCCAGGTTCAACGAGAGACCCTGGCTCAAAACATAAGGTGGAAAGTAATGGGAAAAACCACCTGACATCATCTTTGAGTCCCCCCCCAACACACACACACCAAACAGACAAATGGGATGATATCAATAAATAACAGAGTGGGGTATAGTGTAGGGCAGAAGAAAATAATCCATAAATTACATTTGATGAGAGGTCAAGTTTCAGAGAACATAAGGAACTCAAACATGTCAGTAACAAGTACAAGTAGATGCTCCAAGTGTTTAGATTTGAATGTGTGCTTCTGTAAAGAGAAAAATGGAATGTGAGTCACATCACTTGACAGGGAAGTCTAAGTCAAAACCAGGAGAGTCTAGACGTGGTGGCTCCTGCTCATAAGCCCGGCACGTGCGAGACTGAACTTCAGCCTCCGGTATCAAAGTCATACTTAACATGGTAAGGAAAGCAGCCTCTGTGTCACCGGGTCTTCAGTGGAGAGGCCACACTTGTTTAGAAGAGCAGTTGCATGGCCTGCTCAAAAACAAAAACAGAAACAACCAAAACAAGCTAAAGGCAGAACATTGAACAGACAGTGAGACTCCTGACTCCCTAATCAGAGTGGCAATTGTCAAAAAGATAAGCAGTAACAAAGGCCAGCAAGGCTGTGGAGAAAGGGGGACACTCACATCCTGTTGATGGGAATGTGAGTTGGCACATCCATATTTGGGAAACAACATGGAGGTGCCTCAAAAACTAAAACTGGGCATGTCATGCAGCCAATAAAAAGGAAGTCAGTATACTAAAGACAACAGCATCCACCCACGTTTACATCGGTCCTATGTGTCCCCTCCAAGACTTATAGTCAGCCAAAATTCCATCAAAAGACAGACTGAAAAAGTGTGTGTGTCGGGGGTGGGGGGGAGTGTGCATGCGGGGGGTGGGGGGGAGTGTGTGTGCGTGTGTGCTGTGTGTGTGTGTGTGTGTGTGTGTGTGTGTGTGTGTGTGTGTGTATGTGTATGTGATGCGATACTGCTCAGCCTCAAAGGGATCCAATCTTGTCATTTATGATGACAAGATTGTGTGAGTGGAACAGGAAGTTATGTTCAGCAGTATAAGCCAGACACAGAAAGTCACCGTGGAGTGATGTCATTTAAATATGAAATCTATAAAAGTGGACATGAGAAACTGCAGAATAGAGGTCATGATACACTGGAAAAGGTAGGAGAGAGGGGTCAAGGGGCAGCACATGCTTCCGAGTAGAAGAGAGGCAAGTGCTAGAGCTCTGCTGTACCCAGCGTAAGGAGGCTGTAGTTAGCAATCAATGCCCTTGTGCTGGGCTCAGAGTTCGGCTGATGGAGTACTTGGGAAATAGAGGCAGGAGGAGCAAACTTCAAGGTCAGGCTGATATTGAGCAAGGCTCAGACCAGCCTGTTATTCGGGAGACCTGTCTTTTAGGAAAGGCAGATGGTCTCTGGCTGGAGAGAAGGCTCAGCAGGGAAGAATAGATACTGCTCTTCCCAGCACCCACATCAGGCAGTTCACAACTACCTGTAACCCCAGGTCCAGGGGTACAACACCTCTGGCCTCTGTAGGTACCTCCACACAGGTACACATACCCACACACAGACATGCATGCATACACATAATTTAAAATAATAAAAATAATTTAAAAATATTGTCTATCTCAAACCAGCCAGGTTTTTAATGTTCTTACTACAGAGAAATGATAGATGTGACTACAAAGCCGATTAATTATACATACTCTCCATATATGTATAATTATGCATCAGCAAATGTTTTTCATTGTTTCAGACAGGCTATTATTTTGTAGCCCAGGATGGCCTAGAACTAGCAATCCTCCTACTTCTACCTCTGAAGTTCTGAGATTCCAGGTAGACACTACCATGACTAGCTCAATTAAAATAGTTTGAAAAACATACAAATAGAAAAAAATAACCAAAGAAAATAACGACAAAATGAAAATTATATAGCTATATTGACAGAAAACAGGTTCTGAAGAGAAGCATTACTAAACATTGGAAGGGCACTTACACAGTAACTAGGTCACACTCACCACTAGAGTCACCATGTTCTCCAAGAATCCAGCCATGGCAACTTGTAGGGTGGACACCCAACTTCTCTCCAATTAGGTAACGGAAACGGGCAGAGTCTAGGTTACAGCCACTTCCAATTACCCGAGTTGCAGGGAGCCCACTTATCTTCCATGCCACATAAGTCAAAATATCCACTAGAAAGAACAATTCCAAACGATGTTTGAGAAAAGAGCCATGGTAATTTCTCTTTACAGTTGTTTTTATAAAAAGATAAAATGTCTGGAGTCAAGTGCAAACTCACCAGAGTTCAAAGGACAGTGAATCTGAGAAACAGGCATACTCGGGGCTTTTTATACTAAACCATTCACTAGTAGAATCTTAAAGCATCTCCTGAGATACTCTATGGGCTTTTCAGCAAATCTAATAGTGGGTTAGTTCCCACCTGTTTAGCCTCCTGACCTTCTTTTCATTGCCACATCCCCACCTGAGCTATCAACATGTTACCTAGCATGATGCGTGGACACAGCCGGAGCAGTCTGCAGGTGTGTGAGAAGATTACATCAATTTTGCTTTTATGTTGAAGCTCTATGAAAGGGAAGTGATGACTAAGGCACAGTCATAAGCTGCTGAGCTGCGTACCAAAGACACACATGGGAAAGGAGGGCAAGAAGGATTGGGAAATTGTTTTAGGTCTTAGGCATTTAAAGAAAATTCTGTCCAGCCATCAATTGGCCACTAAACAAATGCAATGAAAACTCCTGTGCCTTGTAAAACAAAAGTCTTCAGACTATAGGTTCATGAAATCTATAAAAACAACCTCAAGAAACAACAACAAACTTGCGGTGAGGAAGCTTTTATTTGCAAATGTTTTTTTGTGGAGGGCTGCAGAGCTGGCTTAGCAGTTAAGAGTTCTTGCTGCTCTTGTAGAGGACCAAGGTCTGATTCCAAGCATCCACATCATGGTTTAAACTGTCTGGAACTTAAGTTCCAAGGGATCTTACACCCTCTTCCGGTGTCCCTGAGTACCAGGCACGCACATGGTACCCATGCATACATGTAGGCAAAACATAAAATAAACACCAACAGGTGAAAGAAGAGTATTTAATGTATAGACAGGACCTGCAGAGATTGCTTAGTGGGTAGGGTGCTTGCTATGCAAGCACGAGGACCTAAGTTCAGATCCCTAGTACCCATGTAAAAAGCAAGACATGGGGAGTTGGGGGGGGGATTGAAGAGATGGCTCAGTGGTTAAGAGCACTGGCTGCTCTTCCAGAGGTCCTGAGTTCAATTCTCAGAAACCACATGGTGTCTCACAACCATCTATAATGAATGGGATCTGATTTTTTAAAAAGTACATACATAAATAGGTTTCGGGGTGTAGAGATAGATTGGTCCAAGAACTTAATGATCAGGAGTCTAGCCAAAACTGCAAGCCACATGTTCAGTGAAAGATGGAGAGAGGTGGAGGAAGATACCAACCTCTGGTCTCCACACTGGCATGCAGATGCACATACACGCTCATCACATGGTACACACATGGAAACATAAACAGAAGACTCTAGCAATGCAAAGGCACAAATCCCTGACATGTCCCAGACATTGAAGAATCCAAAACATTGTGTGGCAAAAGTTTGTACTCTCTGCTGGTTTTTGTTTTGTTTTGTTTATAAGGCTCCAGAAAAAAACAAAAATAAAAAAAAAAACAACAGTCAAGCAGGAGAATGAGGGGTGAACCACAAATGAACCCATGGCCCTGTAGCCGTGACAGAGATGCTTCAGCTCTTACTGTGATGGCACCATGATGGCATCTTTCGAAACCTATGGCATGGCAGACTTTGAGTGAATGAGGCTTTTTACCCACAAATTCAGCCTTAGGATGCGAGTTTGGAATGCAATGGTATGGGCCAATCACCATTCAGAAAGGGGACAGGGTCCTCACCTGGGTTTGAGACAATCAGTATTTTACAGTCAGGACTGTTTTGGACTATGCCGGGAATGATGGATTTCATGATAACAACATTACGCTGGACCAGGTCAAGGCGTGTTTCTCCCACCTTCTGCCTTGCACCAGCTGTGATGATAACTAATTTGGAGTTGGCAGATACATTGTAATCTAAGAAGGAAACAGGAGACAGTATTTGGATCAGGACTGACAAACACTCTGTAAGCATCTGTTCCATACTGTTGAGACTTAACCTCCACATCCTGGATTTGGAAACAGACAGGCTACCCACACTGTAGCATCTGGCATAAGCCACTTGCCAACTTTCATAAAGCCACCTCCTAATCTGCTCTTCCCTTTAACCCACATTCCTAGTTGTCAGTAAGACCTGGGGCAAAGAAGTTAACAGCTCTCTGGCTTCTGTGTTTTGCTTTCTTGTGTTGCTGGGAATTGAACCAATGGCCATGCCACCACTGAACTACATCCCCAGCACCCTGACTTTTTAGAAACACCCAAATGAATTACAAGTCTAGAGTTTGCCAAGCAGTGGTTGTGGCCTGTGCCTTTAATCCCAGCACTTGGGAGGCAGATTCAGGTGAATCTCTGTGAGTTTGAGGACAGCCTGATCTACAGAGTGAGTTCCAGACCACCAGAGCTACCCAAAGAAACCCTGTCTTAAAAAAAAAAAGTTTAGAACTCTGAGAATTTCTATGTCTGTTTTAGGATTCTAAAGGCAAGAACAGATTCACCTCTAATTATTACAAGGAACCATACTAGATATTACAAATAAGTCAGATCTTAATCCACGCAAATATATAAACCACTTATATTTACTAAACATAATTATCAGTCAGGAAACTATTTCACTTACTATATCCAACCCTAGTGATATAAGCTTTGCTTATCGTTATTAAACATTTATTAGATACTTTTTCAATTAGCAATTCCTCTAAGCATAGAAGGCATATCATGTGTATGCTGATTTGTGTGTGTATGTGTGGGGGAGCATCATGCCATGGAATTCATGTGGAGGTCAAAGCGCAACTTGGGGAATCGGTACTTTCATTCTACTATATGGGTCCCTAAAGTTGAACTCAGAACACCAGGCTTGGGAGTAAAGACCTTTACCACACTTTGAAAACAAACAAAACCACCACAATGAAAACAGCATCTCAGGCTGGAGAGAGAGCTCAGCAGTTAAAAGCACTCCTAGAGGCCCCACCTTCAGTTCCCAGTACCACGTCTTGTGGCTCCCAACTTTCTCTAACTTCAGATCCAGGTGAACCAGTGCCTTTGGTCTCTGCAGATACCTGCACTCATGTACACATAACTACTTGCTGATAAATATACATATACATCTTTTTAAAAGTACTAAAAATAGGTAGGGTGTGGTAGTTCACATCTGTAGTCCCAGCACTTGGAAGGCAGAGGCAGGAAGCTCTCTGTGAATTTGAAGCCAGCCTGGTCCACAGAGTGAGTTCCAGTACAGCCAGGACTGTGTAGAGAGACCCTCAAAAAAAGAAAATAGTAATAATAGATAGATGGATGATAGACAAATGGATGGATAGATAGATAGATAAGCAAATTAATTAATAAGGACAGCTACATGTTTGGGTCAATATGAAATGCTTATGGTGTCTCTCTAGGACATATTTAAAGAACTGCCTTCAGTGCCAGTTATTTTTAAGATTTATCCATTTACTATTTCATGTGTTGGAGTGTTTTGCCTACATGTGTGCATGTGTGCAGTGCCTCAGAGTCTGGAAGAGGCCATCAGATCTCTTGGTCCTGAGGTTACAGATGATTTTGAGTTACCATATGGGTGCTGGGACTCAAACCCAGGTCCTCTAAAAGACGAGTAAGTCTTCTTAACCCCTGAGCGTATCTCCAGCCCCCAAGGAATTTTGTAATGTTCCCCCAGTGTAATTTAATGTTCTTTAAAATAATAATAATAATAAGGCTTACCACCCACGTGTGGTGGCACATGCCTTTAATGCTAGCATTCTAGAGGCAGAGGTAAATGAATCTCTGCGAGATCAAGGCCAGCCTGGTCTACAGACCTAGTTCCAGGACAGCTAGGGCTATTTACACAGAGAAACCTTGTCTCAAAAAACAAAACAAAACAAAACACAACAAAAAAATTCTATCTCAAAATAAATAAAATCTAGCAGAAAAGAGCCTTTAAATTGTATGTCCTAATGATAGTGATATGTATGTATGTACATATGTATGTATATTGTTATTTTTTGATACAGGGTTTCTTTATGTAAACCTGACTATATATATTATATTTTATATATTTAGGTTTCTTATGTAGTCCTGACTATCCTGGAACTTGCTCTTTAGACCAGGCTGGCCTCGAACTCAGAGATCTGCCTGTCTTTGCCTCTCCAATGATGGGATTAAAGACGTGTGCTGGGGCTGGAGAGATGGCTCAGAGGTTAAGATGGCTCTGTTTTTCCAGAGCTCCTGAGTTCAATTCCCAGCAATGACATGGTGACTCACAACCATCCATTATGAGATCTGGTACCCTCTTCTGGTGTGCAGATATACATAGAAGCTGAATGTTGTATACATAATAAATAAAATCATTAAAAAAATAAAGATGTATGCCACCACTGCCCAGCTTAGTGATGTTTTTAATTATAGACTTACTGAAGTCAGTTTGATAAAATTGGCCTTTTAATTTTAATTGATTATTTTTTGAGATGGTGTCTCATGTAGCCCAGGCTAGCTTCAAATTCAGTATGTTGCTGAGGCTGGCCTAAACTCCTGATCCTCCTCCTACACCACTTCCCAAATGTTGGGATTGCAAGGTATCCAAACCATACTCATGACAAATCGAATACTTCTTACAAAGCTCTGAAAGTAAGATTATAAAACTAAAATTAACCTTTTCCAGAGACAATTTTTGGAGTGTTGAAGAAAAGACTGCCATGCAGAAGATCCATTGTCTCTCCTTTCAGTTTGTCTGCATCAGCATCAATAAGGGCAAGTTCATCGGCCAAATCCTGAAACACATAAAAATTACAGATACTGTGTGGTCCAAACTCTTAGGAGACTAAGAAGGGTTTCAGGGCAGAGGGTGGAGCTTGGCTGGCTAAATACCTGCCCTGTGTGTATGAGGCTGAATCAGATCTCCAGCATGAAAGAATAATGATAAATTTTCATGTGGCCACTTTATAACCAAAGGAATCTTGTGGGGTTTTGTTTCTTTTGTTTGTTGGTTTGTTTTTGTTTTTGTTTTTGTTTTTGAGACAGAGTTTCTCTGTGTAGCCCTGGCTGTCCTGGGACTTGCTCTGCATACCAGACTGACCTTGAACTCACAGAGATCTGCCAGCCTCTGTCTCCATATGCTAGCATTAAAGTGTGTACCACTGCCTGGCAAATCTTGTGTTTTTTAATTAGGAAAGAAGATACAAAAATATAGTTGATGAATATGCACAGAATGAACTGTGGAAGTATCAATTAATTTACCTTACAAAATTGTGAGAATTTTACAGAATTATATTATATTTTATTATTTTCATTTATTTGCGTGTGGTGTGTATGTGTGACATGTGTAGTACTCAGAGACCAGAAGAGGGCGCCAGGTCCTCTGGAGCTGGAGTTACAGGTGGCTATGAGGTACTTGATGTAGGTGCTGTAAGACTAGCAAGTGGGGGGGCTGGAGAGATGGCTCAGAGGTTAAGAGCACCGACTGCTCTTCCAGAGGTCCTGAGTTCAGTTCCCAGCAACCACATGGTGGCTCCATTATGAGATCTAGTGCCCTCTTCTGATATGCAGGTATATATGGAAGCAGAATGTTATAAATAAAATCTTTAAAAAGTAAAGACTAGCAAGTGCTCTAAATCACTGAGCCATCAGTCTTTAAATAACACTTTAAACACAATGAAAAGTGAGAGAATTCTGTGCAAGGGTTTCTCACTGTTTAACATCAAGCTAGCTATTGAGCTGCTAATGCTGCTTTGACTGTGCATCCCTTATAGTCAAAACAGAAAGAAGCCACCTTCATTGTCACTCACCTCACTTTTATACCAGCCTCAGTATCAAAGCTCCTCCTTGGTAATAAAAATCCTCTTTGGAGTGGGAACTCACCACCTATGCTCACTGGTGGGCAGGGACTGGATTTTGATGGATATCTTTTGATATAACTAATATAGGCCAGACAATTAATCCATCTGTCATCAGATGAGAGAAATTAGTCCCAAGCACACACAGCTGGTCTTGCATGACAGTGTCTTTGAGCTTTGGCGACTTTTCTTTAAATTATAAACATATTATATAACATTATTATAAATGTATTCAATTGTGACATAGCACTCTAAGATCAAACTGCCTCTTTTTCCCAGACAAGGTTTCTCTGTATAGCTTTGGAGCCTATCCTGGCACTCGCTCTGTAGACCAGGCTGGCCTCGAACTCACAGAGATCCACCTGCCTCTGCCTCCCCAGTGCTGGGATTAAAGGCATGCACCACCAACGCCTGGCCAAACTGCCTTTTTTGAGACAGGTTCTTATATAGGACAGATTGACCTCAAATTGTCAATGCAGCTAAGGATGGCCTTAAATTCCTGATCCTCTCCACTCTACCTCCTAAAATACTGGGATTACAGGAGTGTTTCATCATGCCTGGCCTGACACCTGTCTTTACCACCACATAGAAAGACAGTGCCTAAAAATGAAATCAATAAAGGTGACCCTATTCTGAGACTGTGCCTATGGCCTGTCCTCTAGGCTGCAGGAGTACCTCAAGCTGGTTCCAGTCATGCAGATAAGCTTGCTTATATGATGCAGGTGCATCTCAAACTCACAATTCCCCTGCCTCAACCTCTCATGGACTGTGATTAAATTTGACTACTGGCTGCCTGGCTTTTAAAGATTTATTTATTGTATATACAATGTTCTGCCTGCATGTATGCTTGCACACCAGAAGAGGGCACCAGATCTCATTACAGATGGTTGTGAGCCACTTTGTGGTTACTGGGAATTGAACTCAGGACCTCTGGAAGAACAGCCAGTGCTCTTTCTTAACCTCAGAGCCATCTCTCCACCCCCAGTACCTGGCTTTTTGTAAGTCTATTTGGATTTTTGTCACAACTATAGATTATAAGACTATTAAGAAATTTATTCTCAGACAGGCAGTATTGGCACATACCACACCTTGAATCTCAGCACTCAAGAGGCAGAGGCAGAGGCAGAGGCAGAGGCAGATGGGATCTCTGTTGGTCCAAGGCCAGCCTGATCTACATAGTGAGTTCTAGCATAGCGACAGGTATGTAGTGAGACCCTTTATGGAAAAAAACAAACAAACAAAAAATACATTCTCAGGACTAGAGAAATGGCTTAGTGGTTAAGAGCACTGGCTACTTTTTCAAAGGACAAAGTTCAATTCCCACCACCCATGTGACAGCAGTTCACAACTGTCTGTAACTCCTGAAATCTGACACCCTCACACAGACATGCATTCAGGCAAGACACCAATGCACATAAACTAAAAATAAATAAATCATTAAGAAAAGATAGTATTCCTTTTGGTTCTAGTGATCAAATTCTAATAGCTCAGAGTAAGGGAAAGAGGTAAGTGTCCACAAGCTGCTGCTCTTCTCAGAGCAGGTTCCATACAGCTCACCTGAAAACTGATACAGAGCTCCCCTTCAGTGCCTGAATGATGGGCTCTAGAATCTGCCTTAGTCTCCAAAAGAATGGCCACAGCTCTTGTATAAAATGGTAGATCGTGAATTCTTGTCCTAAGTGCCATTCACCCAGATTCCTCCAGGCTTGTCCCTGCTTGAAACAGACACGCCCAGGCAGGGAGGAGCTCCCTGAATCTGGCTTGGTACAGGCCACTCTTCCTTCACTTTCCGTCGACTCATCACAGAGCAGGCGAGCCACCCCCTGCTTTTACCCAATTCTTGTCCTAAGCGCCATTCACCCAGATCCCTCCAGGCTTGTCCCTGCTTGAAACAGACATGCCCAGGCAGGGACGAGCTCCCTGAATCTGGCTTGGGACAGGCCACTCTTCCTTCCCTTTCTGCCTTCTCTTTGCAGCCCAGATCCCTCCAGGCTTGTCCCTGCTTGAAACAGACATGCCCAGGCAGGGACGAGCTCCCTGAATCTGGCTTGGGACAGGCCACTCTTCCTTCCCTTTCTGCCTTCTCTTTGCAGCCCAGATCCCTCCAGGCTTGTCCCTGCTTGAAACAGACATGCCCAGGCAGGGACGAGCTCCCTGAATCTGGGTACAGGCCACTCTTCATTCCATTCCCGGCGACCGATCCGCCAGGAGGCCTAACTCCTTCAGAGTGAGGAGGCTACAAGGAGAGGCAAGACCATCCAGAGCTTCGAT